AACTTATCCAGCCATTTGACTGGGGAAGGGATGATGACTGCAGTCCACAGTACAAACCAAGTGGTGATGCCAGCTATGGCCCCAGCAGTGGGGCCTATGATTTTGCATTCTCAAGATGCACTCACTACCTGGGACAGTCCTGGCAGAGAGGCAGAAAATTAAAAGAAATCAGGACAGAAGAAAAGTGAGGGCCAGAAGTCAGACTGTCTGGGCATTATCCAGATAATATAATGGGACAAAGATATCACAAGAAAAGAAAACTCCAGATCACCACTTCTTATGAATATAGATGTAAAAGTCCTCAACAAAATACTAGCATACAAAATCCAGCAATATATAAAAATGTTTATATAAGCAGGATTTAGCTCAATAATGCAAGGTTGGTTAAATATCTGAAAATCAATTAATGTAGTAAAGAATATTAATAGAATAAAGAACAAAAGCCATCTGATCATCTCAATAGAGACCAAAAATCCAGCAATTTTCCTTTAAAAAAAAGCTTAAGGAACTAGGAATATGAGGGAATATTCTTACTTTGCTAATTATCATAGGGCATCCATGAAAGTCACAGCTAACATCATACTTAAATGGTGAAAGACTGGATGTTTTTGCCCTGAGATCAGGATGTCTGCTTGTATTTAAACCACTTCTATTTAACACTGTAAGCAATAAAAAGAAATAAAAGCATCCAGACAGGAAAAGAAGAAGTAAACTATCTCATTTTACAGATGACATCACCTTATCTATAGAAAATCCTTAGGAATACACACACACACACACACACACACACACACACACACACACACACACACACACACAAGATTAGAGCTAATAAACCAGTTCAGCAAGGTTTCAGAATACAAGAATAATGTACAAAAATCCACTGTATTTCTCAATACTAGCGATGAACAATCCAAAAAAGAAAGAAAACAATTCCATTTACAATAGCAACAAAAGGAATCAAATACTTCTATATAAATTTAACAAAAGAAATGTAAGATTTATACACTGAAAACTATAAAACACTGTTAAAAATTAAAATCTAAATAAAATTTAAAACACCCAATGTTTATGGGTCAGAGATTGAATACTGTAAAGATGATAATACTCCTCAAATTGAGGTACAGAGGCAATGCAACTCCTATCAAAATCCTAGCTAGCTTCCTTTTCTTTTTCTTTTTTTGCAAAAGATGACAAGCTGATCTTAAAATTAATATGAAAATACAAAGGATCTAGAAAAACAAAAATAATTTTGTAACAGAAGAACAAGTTGGAGGACTCACAGGTCCTGATTTTAAAATTTACTACCAAGCTACAGTAAGCAAAACAAATGTAGCACTGGCATAAAGGAAGATCGATTGATCTATCTGTCTATCTATCTGTCTGTCTATCTATCTATCTATCTATCTATCTATCTATCTATCTATCTATCTATCAGGAATAAAACTGAGAGCTCAGAAATAAACCCTTATATTTACAGTTAGTTTATTTTCAACAAGGAAGTCAAGAGAATTCAATGGAGAAAGAACAGCCTCTTCAACAAATGGTGCTGGGACAATTGAATATCTACATGCAGAAGAGTAAGGCTGGACCTCTACCTCAAACCATACACAAAAATTAACTTGAAATGGATCAAGAATATAAATGTAAGAACTTTTAGCTATTAAAAACTCTCATAATTTATAAAAAAACTTTTATCCATTTTACACTTATACATTAATAACTAAGTTATAAACTTTATAAGTGTTTGTAAAACTCTTGGATGAAAATACAGGCATAAATCTTCATGACCCTGGATTAGGAAATAGATTCTTAGATATGGCTCTTACAGCACAAGCAATAACAACAAAAACAGACAAATTGGACATCATCAAAATTAAAAATGTCTGTACTTCAAAGGGCACCATCAAGAAAGTAAAAAGACAACCCACACAATGGGAGAGAACTTTTGCAAATCATAAGGAACTTGCATCTAGAATACATAACTCTTACCACTCAACAGCAAAAACTTAACCCAATTAAAAAATTGGCAAAGGATTTGAATAGACATTTATCCAAAGATGGTATCTAAATGGCTAATAAGCACATGAAAAGATGCTCAACATTATTTGCCATCAGGGAAATGCAAATCAAAAACCACAAATTAACACCTACTAGAATGGCTATAATAAAAAAAAAAGACAGATAATGACAACTGTTGGTGAAGATGTGGAGACATTGGAACATTCATACCCTGTTGGTGGGAAGGTAAAACGTGCAGCCACTTTGGAAAGCAGGCTGACAGTTCCTTAAACGGTTAAACATAGAGTTACCATATGCCTCAGCAATTCCATTCCTAGATATATACACAGAGAATTGAAAATATGTCCACACAAAAATGCACATGAACGTTCATAGCAGCATTACTCACAACAGACAAAAAATGGAAACCCAAATGTCCATCAGCTGATGAATGGATAAACGAAGGTGGTATATCCATAAAATGGAATGTTGTTTGACAATAAAAAAGGAATGAGAAACTGATCAGGCTACAATATGGATGAGCCTTGAGAACATTATGCTAAGTAAAACAATCAGTCACAAAAGACTACATATTGTATGCCTCCATTTACACGAAATGTCCACAATAGGCAAACCTACAGAGACTGAAAGTAGATTAGCCATTGACTAAGGCTGAGAGAGGAGTTTGGGGAGGAACTGGAATCAATAGGGAGTGACAGCTAATAGGTATGGAGTTTCTTTTGTGGAAATGAAAATATTCTAAAATTAGATTGTGAATATACTGAAAACCACTGAACTGTACACTTCAGACAGGTTAATTGTATGGTATGTGAATTATATTTTAATAATGCTGTAAATTTTTTAAAAAGTCAGACTGAGTTCTCAGGGAGCAGGAACTAGGGTATGGGATGCTGATGGTGTCAGAGAAGGGGGACCAAAATCAAAAATCAAGTCAGTAGTAAACAAAAGTTCTGCTTCCAACCCCCACTCCCCCAGTATGGTGTCTGTTTCTCTCCTGGAGCCCTTACTTTCAGACTTTGGTCCCAGCCTGGACAGGAAGGAGGCCTGGGGTCTTTGCTTTTCCTGCTATGGGGATGGGTATGAGGAGTGAGTGTCCCTGGTCAAACTGGTGCCCTCTTCCTGCAGCCATGACACCCTGGTCCCTGCTGTTGCCATGTGCACACTTCTCACCTTGTTCTGCTATGGAGAACCAGCATGAGGGCCTGGACATGACAACACTGTGTGAGGCCCCTGACACCAAGGGGATACCTCCAACTTCTGCTCCAGGTGCTACCTGGTGTACCAGTCCTGGGCTATGGCCAGATACTTCAGAGTCCCCCATGACTGGCATGTGCATCTGGAGATGGGCTGCACATGGACACTTCCTAAGGCTGCCAACTTAGTGGCCTCCAAGTCCACAGATAATAGGATGGAAAGGAGAATATGGTTCACTCTGATTTTTGGCTCTGTTTTGGCCCTAGTGGCTGGAATTTATAGTCCAGAATCAGTTCTTGGGTATCCTTCCAGAAATATTCTATAGGAATTTGAGTACTTATGAGTAATTCAACCCAAATAGGAGCATACTCTACAGTACTTTGCACTTCAGTTTTTTACTTGAAATATTTTTTGGATATTGTTCAACAAGACAGATTGATAAGCCTCATTTTTTAAAAACAGTTAAGTAATGTATTTTATAGTGGCTTCCTTAAGTTAGTCCTTTGCTAGTGGGCATATAGGGTGTTCACAGTTATCACAAATTTTGCTGCACCGAACAATCTTTTATCTTCAGTTTTGTCACAGAAGTGGGAAAAAGAAATCTGTGGTGTAAATTCTTTGAGGTGTACTTGCTGAGTCAAAGAGTTTATGCATTTAACTATTTTTTAAAATGTGTGTTTGATTACTTTTTTTCCCTCTTCCAGTTTTATTGGGATGTGACACAGCACTGTATGTTTAAAGTGTACAGCATAATGATTTAACTTACATACATCATGAAGCATTTAACTTTTGATAAACATCAAATCATCTTCCCAAGAAGCCATACCAATTTACACTAAATGTGGGGCCTCATTTTTGTTTTTTGAAAAATTACTTTGTAAGTTATGTAGCCATCCAGAGTATGGATATAACTGTAAAGTTATTTAACAGCCTATCCTTTTCCCACTGATTTGAATAATCATATTTATCATAAAATACATTCCCAGGAATAGGGCTGTTTTTGAAGCCTCTCCCTCACTTGACTGATTAACTTACTCTTCTGTCATTATTTTCCTTTTATTCCAGTGCTTTGGTGTTTGATTATCTAGTGTGTCAAATACATCATTACTACTGTTGTTTTTTTTTTAAACATATTGTACAGGAATTTAGAATTTTCATGTTCTGTTAAAAAGTCCTTTTGGATGGCAATGAATTTAAGGATTAAACTGGGGAGAAGCAACATCTTTTAATAATCTTTCCATTCAGGTATACGATATGTCTTCATTTAGTTAGGTCTTGTATCCTTCAGGACAGAGATAGCATTTTCTTCATACAGATTTTGCATGTTTTCTGGTGAGGTTTAGTCTTTTATAGTTTATGGGTTTTGTTGTTATTGTGAATGGGACCCCAAGTATATTTCCTAATTTGTTATTGCAATTTATAGGAAATATACTAACTTTGGGCCTCAGTTCATTATTTGTAAAAGGACAAAAGTAGAAGTACTTACTAAAAGGTCAAGTATGGACTCAACAAAGTTAAATAGATTTGTTCATTACAGGACTTATCAGTGACTTTAATTACTTTGATTACCAAGAATCCCCAAGAAGGGTACAGGAATTTCCTGTACTTACTTAACCATGAAACCCTTGTCACAAGACATTCTGAAACATATTTGGAGAAAATGATGCACCCCAAAGACCCTTCTCGTTTCTAATTTGTTAGTCCAGGGATCTCCACTGAACCTTATCTAATGCTCAAACTCCCACTCACTTAGCCCCAACCAGAACACAGAAGACAACCCAATGTCAAAGTGAATGCTTTAATGAATGCTGCTCAGAGAGCCATGTCTCTCACTAGCTGCTGCCAGCCTCCACTGTCCCCAGCTATTTGTCAGGAGGGTGAGCTAGCTGCCTGGGGTGCAGAGATGGATCTGGAGTCTAAAGAGCAAGCTGGGACAAAGGGATGTTCGGGAGGCACCCTGTAGGGGCTCAGCTCCCAGGAGTGTGGCGGAGGGGGCATGGGCCTCAGGCTGGCCCCTCTTCAGGCATTCCTAGCAAAGCCACAAGAGGCTCGAGGGGTGTGGGGGTCCCGATGGGCACAGGATGGGTGCGTTCATGCTTGCGCAGGTCGCTGGCACTCAAGAAAGCCTTGGGGCAGTGAGGGCAGGTGTAGGGGCGCACAGAGCTGTGGGTGCGGCTGTGCTTGCGCAGCCCAGCCCGATCTGAGAAGCTCTTGCCGCACTGTGTGCAGGGAAAGGGCCGGAGCTCTGGGTGTGAACGCTCGTGCCGTCGCAGCAACGTCAGCGTGGAGAACATCTCCTTGCACTCCCGGCACACAAACTGTGGTGGTTTCTCGTCCACCTCCTCACCCCCGACCTCGCCTGCCGCCCCCAAGGGACCAGGAGCCTCCCCAACCCCAGCATCTTGGCACTCCACGTGCTCCACTGTCATGCCCACAACTTGCCACTGGGTGGCCACCACACCACCGGATTCTGAGGGCAGCCCCAGCAGCCCAGCTGGAGGGTCTCCTAGCCCCGTCCCTGCTGCCGGGGCCGTGGAGCCCTCCCCTGCCACGCTGACGGGCAGCGCCAGCCCCACTACCAGCTCCTGTTGTGGGGGCGCCCCTGCGGCCTCGCTACTTCGATGGGTCCGCTCATGCTTCCTTAGGCTTGACGAGACCACGAAGGACTTTCCGCAGGCGTTGCAGTGGAAAGGGCGCTCACCTGAGTGCACCCGGCTGTGCTTCGTAAGACTGGCCCGCTCCGCGAAGGCCCGCCCGCACTCTTCGCAGCGGAAGGGCCGTTGGCCCGAATGCACCAACGCGTGCCTCTTGAGGTCCCAGGACGCCACAAACGTCTTGTCACACTGCAAGCACTTGAACGGCCGGTCGCCAGTGTGTACCCGTCGGTGCATTGCCAGGTCGGCCGGCTGCCGGAAGTCCTTGCCGCACTTCTCGCAGCGGTAGGGCTTCACGCCCTCATGCGCCCGCTGGTGGCGCCGGAAGCTCGAGGGGTCGGAGAACATGCGGCCGCAACGCGGGCACAGGAAGGGCTTCTCGCCCGAGTGAGTGCGCTCGTGGCTCTGGTAGGAGCTAAGCTGAGTGAAGCCCTTGCCACAGGCCGGGCATCGGTAGGGCTTCTGCGCCGCATGGATGCGCTGGTGGCACGTAAGCGAGGATGAGCGGGAGAAGCTCTTCCCGCACTCTGAGCAGAGGAAGGGGCGCTCACCCGTGTGGGACCTGTGGAAGGGCGGAGGCCCAGCATGAGGGTGGCGGCCCATCACCTGACCCCGCTACCTGTCTGCACGGTAAGTTAGGGCCCCTTAACATCGCTGGGGCTTTGGCCTAATTCCCTAAGGGCCACAGGGCTGTGCCCCAGAGTAAGATACCTTCAGGCCGGGCGTCTAGGTTCCAGACCCATCTGTACACACAACACATCAGGCCCCACTCGCTCCTTCTGGACTCCAATAGAGACCCTCTGAGCTGCCCAACTTCAAGCCCCGCCCCCTGTGGTCCAGGAACCCAGGCCAATCAGACCCTAGTTCCACCCTCCCCTATAGTCCCGCCCCACTCACCTTCCTATTGGCTCATTCTGCTCTGTGGAACTCAATGCCTCCACCCTATTGGTACACGCAGCCCAACCCCTTCAGCTGCCCACCACCCAGCCCCACGCCCTCACCGCTCGTGGTTGCGAAGGTCCTTGAGCTCAGCGTAGGCTTTGCCACAGCGCTCGCAGCTGTACGGCCGCAGGCCGGCATGTGTCCGCCGGTGCTTGCGGAACACCGAGGGGTCGGCGAAGCTCTTGCCACAGTCGGCACAGGCGTAGGGCCGCTCACCCGTGTGACCTCGCTGGTGGATCTTGAGCTTGGAGAGCGCGCCATAGGCCTTGGGGCAGTGCGCACAGCGGAAGGGCAGCTCACCGGCGTGCGAGGCCAGGTGCACCCGCAGGCACACAGGCTGCATGAAGCGCCGGCCGCACTCAGGGCAAGGGAAGGGCTTCTCACCTGTGTGGCTGCGACCATGACTGCGCAACTCAGGTGCCGTTTTGTAGGCCTTGGGGCACAGCGGACACGCATAGGGCCGAGGCTTAGCCGCTGCACCTGACACCTTGTCCCCACTGGCATCCTCCACTTTGGGGTCTGTCTCTGGCTTCAGCTTCACCTCGGCCACCTCCTCTGCGCAGTCTGCAGGCCCATGTGTGGCAGCGTGGCGTGCTGCTCGGGGTGCATTCGGAAACGTCTTGGTACAGGACAGACACTTATAGCGGCGGCCAGAGCGTTTATAGCCAGGGGCTGGGGACCGGTCCTCCACAGACTCTACCTCCATGGCCTTGGTGGGCGGGGCTTCTGTGAGAGAGGCAATGTTAGACAGAAGCCACACCCCTTTCCCATTCGCCAAGGCCGATCTTACCAAAGCCCTCTGAGGCCTCAGAGAGAACTCTGTCTTATCTACATTCCCCACAGAGGACGCACATCCTTCCTTACAAACATTCCTGCCTCTCTGAGCTCAAGTTTCCTCTCCAGTCTGTTTATTGATGAAAGAAGCTACACCAGGTGACCTCAGAGAAGCTAAGAGAGGAGGCTGGGATCTTAAGAAGGTTCACCTGAACTTCCCTCCCCAGCCTCTAGGATTTTCCAAACCCTGCAGCATTCCCAGAAGGCCCAGGCTCCATTCATCTCACCATCTTCCTTCTTCAGTTGGATGCAAGGATGCAGACACGGAGGCTACCCAGATGTGGATCTGGGCTGAAGGTCTCCAAGTGCCCAGGGAAGACAGAGGTAGGTCCCGAAAAGGGCAGAGCCAGTGGGCTAAATGTAGTGATTAGCACCATCTGTCTGGAAGGGGTAGGTCCCTGGTGTGTATATTTTGTCTTTTCCTTCTGGTTGGTTAGCTTTCAGAGGCAGCAACTGTTCACACAGAATTCTGGCCTTGCACAGATGTAAGGTACTCCACCCCAGATAGGAATCCTGGTCTACCCTCTGCTGTGGAATGGCTGTTTGGTTCTTGCTCCCATAGCTCTGGTAATGGGGAGCTCAGTTACTCTCAAGGCAGCTTGAGCCATTGCTAGCAGAAGTTAGAAGCCTCTGACTCATACTCAATGCATCTGCTCTAGCCTGGCCTCCTGGGACACTGGCCCTAGCTAAGGCCTCTTCTTTCTCGGTTCAGAGCCCAGACACCCTCCACCCAGCTGCTCCTGGGGATCATGGCTGGGAGGAAATAGGATTAACGGCTGCATTAGTCTTAACACCAGCTCATCCTCCCTAGGGGATGAAGGGAAGAGGATTATGGCAGATCCACTTAAGGAGTGCTTGCAGCAGCTGCTGGGGGCAGAAGGGTGGGGGGGAAGGTCAGTGTTATAGAGAGGGGAGGGGAGCCAGGTGTGCCCAGAAGCTGAGCTGGGAGGCATGAGGCCTGGATTCTCATGCTCCTTTTCAGGCCTGTTTCTTCATCTGTACATATCAGGGGTTGGTGGCTTCTAAGTTATGACCCAGGAAGGACACAGGAGCCCTTGGGGTGAGTGGCAAGGGCTGTATCATTAGAATCAAAATCCTTCTGCCTGGTGGCCCTGCCTCAGTCCCCGACCCCTACACACACAATCTACTGTGCATAGGTAGCCAGAGTCTTCTTCCGGAAGTACCATGTGATGATGCTCTGTCCTCCGCTTAAGAACTTTCCATGGCTTCCATCTCATCATGCAAGATTCCAGGCCCTTCCTGGCTGTTACAAATCCTTCCTTTGAGCCTCACTTCCCAAAAGAAGCTCTTCTTTCTCCTTTGGTTTTTTGGTCCCCATCCCACACAATTCTTTTCTACCCTCAGCTTGTTTTTTTCACTTTTCCCACTAAATCCTGGGGCTGGAAGGTAAGTTGAAGGGCTTGAGGCCCAACCTTCCCCATGGCTTGAATTCCCCCTACAGTTTCTAGGGGACCGTTCCCTATCTCTGGATGGGGCCCTCACCACCTCCCTTCCAGGCTATCTCTGGACAATCTGACAGATAAAGTTTTTCCTCAATAAAAATGGTAGCTCACATTTACTGAGCACCTACCTGTTAAATAACAGGCTATATCCTGAGTCTTTACATGTATTAACCCACTTGATCTTCATGTCAGCACCATGAGAAAAGTTCTATTATCACTCACTTGCATTGATGAGGGAACTGAGGCCCAGAGAAACAATACAGCATTGTAGTTAAGTGCAGTCTCTGAAGCTAAACTGCCTGGCTTCCAATCTCACCTCCCTCACAGAAAAGCTGTGACCTTGTGTAATTTCCTTCACGCCGTAGGAGCTCAGTTTTCTCATCTGAAAAATGGAGGTAATAACAGTACTTACTTCACAGGGTCGGGTGAGGGCTGAGTGAGATAAGAATAATTACTGCTCTCAATTACTGAATCTTCTCAGAGCCAGACACTCTGCTGAGTGTGCTACCTTATTCTCTCATAGCTTCCTGAGATAGGGATTACTGTCCTCATTTTACAAATAAACTGAGGTTCCAAGGGGGTCAGTGATTAACCCATGATCACACAGCTAGTATCTCATGCGGCTGGGACTTGAATCCAGGTGTTCAATTTGCCTGGCATTGTTGGGCCCTCCCAGACTTGTCTGCTGCCTGGGCCAGTCCCACAATGACTAGAACCCTGAGCCTTCAGGGTTTCCCGCTGCCTTCTCCCATGGGAAAACTCTTTTGCATCCTTCAAATACAACTTCAGGTTACACTTTTGTCTTCTCTCATCCCGTAGAACTGCCTGGAAACCAGAGCCAGCATCTTTATGTTTCTGTTTTCCTCTCAGAGGGCTGGACCCGTGGGTTCTGAGCTCTGGGCCACTGTTTTCTTACCTGTGAGCCAGAAACCAGATAGCTGAAGGGGTAAATCCCTCCTCTGAAGGCACTTCCTAGGGGAAATGGTAGGGGAGTCCCAGGTTGGTCCCAGCAGGCCCCAGCTCCATGAAGAGTAGAGGGCCAGGTTGGTTAGGGCCCTGTCCAAAACTCCACCATCAACTCCTCACTTCACTGTTCATGAAGGAATCTTCCACCCACCCACCACTCCCTAGAGTGATTCTGTGAACTCCCTGCATGACAATAATCATCCAGGGAGTGTGGGGTAGGACTCAGAAATCTACTCTCTGGGACATTCCAACCAACACTCAACACTTAAGAACCAAAGTTACATCCTTAGGTCTTCACAAGCTTCTAGGAGAGAGGCATTTTTACTACGTCTCTTTTTCAGATGTGGAGATTAAGGCCCCCATAAGGGGGAAAAAACTTGCATTAAGGATACATAACTAGTCAAGGAGCCCAGACTCAAACTCAAGTCTTCAGGTCCCTGGGCTGGGCTCTTTCTTTACTAGCCTTCATTTATTTAAGGTTTATCAGCCAAATCATGAGCCTTTCCACTGTTCCTGGGACAAAGACCAGTATCTTTTTTCCGTGGCCAGCAAGGCTCTGAACTACAACTCACCTCCCACTCCTCTCCCCCTGGCTCACTAGGTTCCACTCACACAGGTTCCCTTTTTTTCCGTCAAAGACCTAAATTCCTTCCCATCTCAGGCACTCTGCACTAGGAGTTTCCTCTGCTAGAAAAACGATTCCCCAGTTATCTTTGTGTCGCCATCTCTCTGATTTCATTTGGGTCTCAGCTCCCTGCCACCTCCTTAAAGAGGGCTTTGCTGACCACCTTTCTTAATGCTATCTGCACTCCTGCTGATTACTCTGTATCCCCCTCCTCTTTAATTTCCTTTATGTTGTTCAACTGGATAACAGTCCTTGCAAATTTACCTTGGCCCAGGTATCATTCTAAGCATTTTATGTGTACTACTCAAGCTAAGCCTCACAACCTCCTGGAAGTCTGTTATGGAATGAATGCACACATGCATGGAAGGAAAGCCATGTGAGAACTTAGAGACAAGGTGGCCATTCAGGAAAAGAGCCCTCACCAGGAACTGAATTAGCCAGCACCTTGATCTTGGACTTCCTAGCCTCCAGAACTATGAGAAATAAATGTCTGTTGTGTCTCCCAGTCTGTTATGGATTTTTGGGGGGGGGTTGTTGTTGTTGTTTTTGTGGTAGCCCAGACTAAGTTAAAGAGTTTTTCCCCCCATTTCACTGATAAGGATACTGAGGCACACAGCAGTGAAGTAACTAATCATGGTCACAGCCAGTATTCAAAGCCAGGTGGTCTGCCTCCCAAACATCTGCTCTCTGTCCTCTGATTATCACTTTGCTAGTACCTAAGTACTAGCATTTTATGGTTCACTTGTTAATTCTCTGTCTCCAGCCCAAGAGTCTAGGCTGGCAAAGAGCCAGTAACCTTTATTATTCTGTACCCTTTACACACAGAACCATGCTTGGTGCCCGAAAACAAACTGAGACGGTATTTGAACCCAAGTCTATAGCCTCTGCCTCCCCCATAGTAGGAGTTTGTGAGAATGTCGGTCAACAATTATTTATTAACTGAATTTCTCTGCCTCTGCCAGTTCACAAAGTCCAAAAATCCCCCCTGTATCCCACAATGGATTCATTGCTCTAGTGAGGGAGCCTTGTCTTTGGTTTACTATTGGACTCTTATGAGGGGAACGACGTCCTGCTGCCTGAATAGGCTCTAAATGCCAGGGATGCAGAAATTTACTTCCCAGAGAGTTTAGCCTAGAACCCTGTGGCAGGGATGAGGTGAAGAGCCACTTTTTATCCTCTCTGTTCCTCGGTCTCCCCATGTCTAAACAAGTAGTCACCAATAGGTCTCACAGGCCATGAGAGATCTGGTGAGATGGCAGAAGGGAACTGTGAACTATGCAGAGATGACAGCTAATCATCTCCTAGGCATTCAATCTGGTTAGTCCACAACCTAATCCCAGTCTACTTCTCCAGCCTCACCTCCAGCGGCAGGGTGCCGCTCCTGACAGCGACCTTAGCTCCAGGCACAGTTTTCAAACTTCCCCACCTAAATGCATCTCCACTGGTAGTTCTCATTGCCTTCTCCCGTGGGAAAACTCATTTGCATACTTCAAATACCTGCTTCCCCAGTGCCCTCAGGAATAGTTAATAGGCAGTACAGATAAGGGCGCCACGGCGCTCTGAGCCTGTTTCCTTATCAGTAAATTGGGGTCTCTGAGGGATGCAGGAGTTTGAAGGGCGTTAGGGCGGAGAGCTGCGGAAACCCTGCGCTTCTCGTCCCCTGTCGGCGCCCCCGCCAGACAGACAGCCCCGCAGGGCAGGGCCCTGGCTGACTCTTCTCGAAGAAGGCCCTTCATCGGAGGCTGTGGCAAGAAGGAGTGAACGAAGAATGACAATGAACAAATGAATGGACCAAAGGCCGACTGTGGACAAAGGCCTGCAAGATGGCGTTCTCTAGGACCGCGGGAGGGGCGGCCAGGACCTCGGCCGGGGAGGGGGGCTGCAGGCGCCGAGGACCGAGCTAGGCGGGCCGCGCGCCTGGGACAAAAGCCCGCAACATGGCGTGCTCTAGGACCCCCGGGCCCGCACCGCGCAAGGCGGGCAGCCGTGCCGGCGGAGGTCAGGCGTCCGCTGCAGCCGGTCCGCCGGGACAGCCGGCGGGTTCTAGGACCCGCTGGGCCCAGAGCCCGCCCGCGCCCTCCCGGGGCCGCACTCCTCCCGCCCCGCCCGCGCCGCTCGCGCCAGGACAACCCCATCCGCCCTCTGCACCCACAGGGAAACTGAGGCCCGCTCGGGTTGCGTCCGCACTGGGGCTGCCCGGGGGTCCCTGCGGCTTCCTGCCAGCGTTTCCTACCTGAACGGACTTGGGCTGGCTTCGTGGCGTCAGCGGCAGCTCCTCTCATCGACGGATCCCGGGACACAACCAGGGAGGGGCAGGCGCTAGGACCCAGCGGGCGGGGTGGAGGGTGAGGGAGAGGAGGCGGGGCCGGCGAGCGGAAGTGGAAGGGAGCTTTCCCGGTTAGGGAGGAAAGCAAAGTTACCGAAGCACTCCCAATTGAAGGTGGCGGAAAAACAGCTTGCAAGGGGGTCTCTGTGGGTGCTAATGACAAGGTACACCAGACAGGCTTACGGGATGCAGCAGCTATTGCTAGCCTGGGGCTAGAGCTCCATGAACTAGAAGGTGGGAGGACAGAAAGGCCATGCTCAAGATTTGTAGTACCGAAATCCGCTTATATTCCACATTTCCCTTAAGAACAAGGAGTGACTGAAGCTTCCTACGTCTGTCTTGGGAAGTTTTTCAGGCAGCCCCCCACTTTCGTGCAGTGTCTCTAAAATACTGAGACCAGGTCTGCAGAACCCTTTTTTTCCCCTCTTCTGCGCTCAGCCAGTATGCACCGGAACGATTTTAGCGGCTCTTCCCGGAAGTGTGGCTAAGGTTAGTGCAGAAACAACGCAGCGTTCTGACCTACGTGGGCGGGGTCAGAGTCCCGCGTCAGCTGCTTTTTACCCAGCGCCGGAAGTGTGTTTGTGTGGAACCGCTGCTTGGAGGCGGGACAGAAGTTTTCTCAAGGCGGAAGTTTCGCGGGGAAGCTTTTGAGGCCAGGACACTTCCTGTTTCCTAGTAACAATAGGAAGTGTCCGCGGAGCTGGGGGTAGACTTCTGGCTCGTGCCAGCTGCGTCCTCTTTCCTCTACCTCCTTCTTTCTCCCCCTCTTTTATCCCTCTTTCCCTCCCCTCCCACCTCCCAGGAGCCCTGGCGGAGAGTGCGTGTGTGGGAGCGCGAGAGACCCCCACAGCCACCCCTGGGGCGCGCGGCTGCAGTTAGGGTGAGGGTCCCAGTGCGCAGGCGCACTCCCGTTCGCGGTCCCCAACGGACGCACCCGCGGCGGGAACGAGAAGGGGCCACTGGTGCGAGGTAGGGGTCCTAAAAGAAAATAGGCCAAGGAGATAAGTGAGGCAAGTGGACCTCTTTGGTGGTTGATTAGGAGAGGGGACTCTTGAACGAAGGACCTTTGTGAGGTGAGAATTCTGGGAGCAGGTTCAGTAAGGGGTTTAGAGTCGGAGATAGGAGTTGTATTAGGGACTCACGGGATTGAAGAGTCAGAGTCAGAGAAGGTCAAGGTGATGTAGGAGTCATGGGGGCCTGTTATGGAAAGAGCAAGGGCTTTGGAAAGATTGAGTCAGTGAGTTTGCTCATATGTAAACTGAGATAACAGAGACAATTGCTGTGTGTTGTGAGGATTGACACAACGAATATTCTTTACTTAAGATAGTGCCTGGCACTTGGTAATGCTTAGGTAGCACAGGCTGTTGTTGTCATCAGTATTCTGAGAGGAGGTAGAAGGAAAAATGAGAAGGGATGGTGGGGGTAAAGTGAGGAGGCATGGGAAAGAGAAAGAAAGGAGGTGAGGAACCAGAAATGGATGGAATTTCCAAGATAGAAAATAGTTTGGGATTCAGGGAACCCAAGAGAATCTTTCAGAAAGGAGACTTTGTGGCCTTGAAAGGAGTAGGGGAGGTTGGGAAACAAGCCAGCCCTTCCTCTGAAGGTGGCCTCTTAGCCTCGCTGCTCAGTTCCTTCAGCTGTCAACTGCAGAAAGAAGCTGCTTTTTCAGTGCCTCTAGGCTACTCTGTTTATTTGGGGAATGAAGAAGGGAGGCTTGGACTTGACTTATTGAAAATCCTAGAAAAGGCTCAGGTTTCCTTTTAAGATGTCACAGAAGATAGGTTGTTTGTTTCAGGACTACAGAGAGCAGAGAGTTAGGGACAGTAAGACATTTTGGATTTGGTCTGAAAAACAGAATAGGTCTGTGATCAGAGATAGATTGCATTCCTCTAGATGTTAGTTTCCTCATCTATACCTCTCTCTAGGGATGAGTTAGTTCTAGGGGAGTTTCCATATTTGGGGAGCTTGTGTGCAGGGAAGCTTTAAATGGTGTTGCTTCCAGAACAGATCTAGTAGGAAGCCAGTCTCTGGGCATTGCTGCATAGGGGACCTCTCTGTGACCTCTGGTGAACTTGTTGCTCATAGAACCAAGAGGCAAAGTTAACTCAAGCCTTCTTTCTGACCACTGCCTCCTCTTCCTAGGCCTTGGACCATCCACCAGAGGAAGATGCTGCTGCCACCTGCCTGCTCTTCCTGAACCTCCAGGTTTCTGCCACACTGCCCCATGGAGGACACGCCCACCTCACTTAGTTGCTCAGACTGTCAGCGCCACTTTCCTAGCCTCCCGGAACTGTCACGGCACCGCGAACTGCTCCATCCGTCTTCTAATCAAGACAGTGAGGAGGTCGACAGCATCCCTCGGCCCTACCGCTGTCAGCAGTGTGGGCGGGGCTACCGTCACCCAGGGAGCCTGGTCAACCACCGCCGAACCCACGAGACTGGCCTTTTCCCCTGTACCACCTGTGGCAAGGACTTCACCAATCCCATGGCCCTCAAAAGCCACATGAGGACTCATGCTCCTGAAGGCCGCCGCCGGCGCAGGCCCCCCCGCCCCAAGGAAGCCACTCTACACCTCCAGGGGGAGACAATGTCCACTGACTCCTGGGGCCAGAGGCTTGGCCCTAGGGAAGGCTGGGAAAACCAGAAAAAACACACGGAAGAGACACTTGGCTCTGAGTCTGGGCCTGACCCTAGGGCAGCTCTGGGCACTTGGGAGGATCCACCTTCCAGACTAGGAGAAGGCTGGGAAAGCCAGCCAGATCCTGAGGAAGGCGCAGAGGGCTGGGGGCCCACCACCAACTCTGCCAGAGACCCACCACTCCCCACCCCAGCTAGCAGTCTCCTTAGCAATTTGGAACAGTATTTGGCTGAATCAGTAGTGAATTTCACCGGGGTCCAGGAGCCCACCCAGTCCCCTCCTGCTGAGGAGGAGCGGCGGTACAAGTGCAGTCAATGTGGCAAGACCTACAAACATGCCGGGAGCCTCACCAACCACCGCCAGAGCCACACCCTGGGTGTTTACCCTTGTGCCATCTGCTTCAAGGAGTTCTCTAACCTCATGGCTCTGAAGAACCACTCCCGACTCCATGCCCAATATCGGCCTTACCAGTGTCCCCACTGCCCCCGCGCCTTCCGACTCCCCCGAGAGCTGCTGGAACACCAGCAGTCACATGAGGGTGAAAGTCAAGAGCGGCTGTGGGAGGAGAAAGGGATGCCCACCACCAATGGACACACAGACGAGAGCAGCGAGGACCAACTCCCTGGTACACGGATGCTGAATGGCTCCGGGGAGCTGGAGGACAGCGGCCTGGAGGAGTACCGGCCATTCCGCTGTGGGGACTGTGGCCGTACCTACCGCCATGCTGGAAGCCTCATCAACCATCGCAAGAGCCATCAGACTGGTGTCTATCCCTGCTCCATCTGTTCTAAGCAGCTGTTCAACGCAGCTGCCCTCAAAAACCATGTGCGGGCTCATCACAGACCCCGGCAAGGAGCTGGAGAGGATGGGCAGTCATCGGTGCTGCCAGCTCCCCTGCCCCTGGCTGAGACCACCCACCAAGAGAAAGATGTACCCCCTACCACTGTGGACCACCGCCCCTATAAGTGCATTGAGTGTGGTCGGGCTTACCGCCACCGGGGGAGCCTGGTGAACCACCGCCACAGCCATCGGACAGGAGAGTATCAGTGCTCGCTCTGTCCCCGCAAGTACCCCAACCTTATGGCCCTGCGCAACCACGTGCGGGTACATTGCAAGGCTGCCCGCCGCAGCGCAGGCTCAGGGGCTGAAGGTCCCCCCAGCCACCTTAAGGTGGAACTCCCGCCCAACCCAATGGGAGCAGAGGCAGCCCCACACACAGATCAGGGGCCTGGGTGCAAACATGAAGGGACGACCACTGATGTTCCCCCAGCAGCAGATCGGACTGCACCACAGATATGTAGCGTGTGTGGAATGCTCTTTGAAGACCCTGAGAGCCTTGAACGTCATGGCCAGACCCACGGCAATGGGGAGGACAGCAGGACGGAGACCAGGGTGTCGCCTCCTCGGGCATTTGCCTGCCGAGACTGTGGAAAGAGCTATCGCCACTCAGGCAGCCTCATCAACCACCGGCAGACCCACCAGACAGGAGACTTCAGTTGCGGGGCCTGTGCCAAACACTTCCACACCATGGCTGCCATGAAGAACCACTTACGTCGCCACAGTCGACGGCGGAGCAGGCGGCACCGGAGGCGGGCCAGCAGCACCAGCGGCAGTGGGGGAGAAGCCAAACTCCCGTCAGGTGGAAACTGGGCAACAGAGCTGGTGGAAGACAGTGGGGGCCTGGACTGTCCCCGAGACCCTCTGGGGGAAAGTCCTAGAGGAGCCGAAGGCAACATGAAAAGTGATGGGGGCTGTTTGCCGGTTGCAGCTGAAAGGGACAAATGTGGGCTTGAGAGGGATGAGGCCTGTTTCCAGGGTGATAAAGAGAGCAGAGGCACTGAGGAAGGCCTGGAAAGGAAGGAGGCCTGTTTCCTTGACAACTTGGACATCCCAAGCGGTGAGGAAAGCAGTGAGACTCGCTTCTGTGATGGCCTCCCTGGGGTAGAGGAAGATCAGAAACCAGCCACTGGCCAGTCCAGCTCCCCTCCCTGCTCTGCCGAAGCCGCTGATGGCTGGCAGGCTGAGGTCTCCCACACGTGTTCTGACTGTGGGCATTCTTTCCCCCATGCCACCAGCCTGCTGAGCCACAGGCCCTGCCACCCACCGGGCATCTATCAGTGCTCCCTCTGCCCAAAGGAGTTTGACTCCCTGCCTGCCCTGCGCAGCCACTTCCAGAACCACGGGCCTGGGGAGGCAGCTTCAGCACAGCCTTTCCTCTGCTGCCTCTGCGGCATGATCTTCCCTGGGCGGGCTGGCTACAGGCTTCACCGGCGCCAGGCTCATGACTCTTCTGGCATGACTGAGGGCTCGGAGGAAGAGGGGGAAGAGGAAGGAGCAGCAGGGGCAGCCTCCACCCACAGCCCCCCACTGCAGTTCTCGGAAGCAGAGCTGCTGAATCAGCTGCAGCGGGAGGTGGAGGCACTGGATGGAGCCGGTTATGGACACATCTGTGGCTGCTGTGGTCAGACCTATGATGACCTAGGGAGCCTGGAGCGTCACCACCAAAGCCAGAGTTCTGGAAATACTACAGGTGAGGTTCCCAGCCTCATTCATCACCCGGGAGAGTCAGTTGATGCCACAGGGATGGTTGCAGACGGCGTCTTTGAGGGAACGGTGACCTCTCTCTCTGGGGAGGGTGAAGACACAAAGTCTGGAGAGGGGGTAGGTGCTGCGCTTGCAGATAGCCTTTGCGCACAGGGTGGGGAAAGTTCTCTGGAGGCCCAGCCCCGCCCCTTCCGCTGCAACCAGTGCGGCAAGACCTATCGCCATGGGGGCAGCCTGGTGAACCACCGGAAGATCCACCAGACCGGAGACTTCATCTGCCCCGTCTGCTCCCGCTGCTACCCCAACCTGGCTGCCTACCGTAATCACCTGCGAAACCACCCACGCTGCAAAGGCTCTGAGCCCCAGGTGGGCCCCATCCCAGAGGCAGGAGGCAGCAGTGAGCCCCAGAACAGGGCAGAGGAGGGCCTTGGGCAGGTCGAAGTGGAGATGTTCCAGAAAGAACTTAAAGTGGAGCCCCTGGAGGAGGTGGCAAGGGTGAAAGAAGAGGCCTGGGAGGAGACCACTGTGAAGGGGGAGGAGGTGGAGCCAAGGTTGGAGACCGCAGAGAAGGGCTGCCAGACTGAGGCCAGCTCTGAACGGCCCTTCAGCTGCGAGGTGTGCGGCCGGTCCTATAAGCACGCTGGCAGCCTCATCAATCACCGACAGAGCCACCAGACCGGCCACTTTGGCTGCCAGGCCTGCTCCAAAGGCTTCTCAAACCTCATGTCCCTCAAGAACCACCGGCGCATCCACGCGGATCCCCGGCGTTTCCGCTGCACCGAGTGTGGGAAGGCCTTCCGCCTGCGGAAACAGCTGGCCAGCCACCAGCGAGTCCATGCTGAGCGTGGTGGGGGTGGGTGCACCCGAAAGCTGACTCGGGAAGATCGGCCCTTTCGCTGTGGGCAGTGTGGGCGGACCTACCGCCACGCCGGTAGCCTCCTGAACCACCGGCGGAGCCATGAGATGGGCCAGTATAGCTGCCCCACCTGCCCAAAGACCTACTCCAACCGCATGGCCCTGAAGGACCACCAGAGGCTGCATTCGGAGAGCCGGCGGCGGCGTGCTGGGCGGTCCCGGCGGGCAGCTGTGCGCTGTGCCCTCTGCGGCCGGGGCTTCCCTGGCCGGGGATCTCTGGAGCGACACCTGCGAGAGCATGAGGAGGAGACCAAAGGTGGTCAGGGAGGCCCAAATAGCCCAGAGGGCGGTGACCAGGGACTAGAAGACAGACTGGGTGGTACTGATTCGGTACCCCAGTTGGAAGATGTAGCCACAAGGCCAGTGGAGCAGACTCAGAGCCCCATCAGGGCAGCAGGTTCAGAAGCCACAGATCCAATGTCCTGGGGCCCAGGGAAAGCAGATGGGTGGCAAGGAGACGGGGGGTCCATGAATCATGATGGAGACTGGGTTCCTGGGGGTCACGTACTGACCAAGCCAGAAGACGAGTCAGGGGACGGTGTCCCCAGGAGTCCTTGCCACCTTGGCAACAGCCAGCCCAATGGACCTAGTCTGTTTCCCATGGATAGCTGGGATAGTGGAGACAGCAGCCCTCAGCCCCAGCCAGAGAGCCACTCCTTTTCCTGCAGCCATTGTGGCAAGTCCTACTGCCAGTCGGAAGGCCTCTTGAATCATAACACCCACAAGACAGACCATCACTATTGCCTGCTGTGCTGTAAGGAGTTCCTGAATCCTGTGGCCACTAAGAATCACAGCCACAACCACATAGCTGACCAGACCTTTGCCTGCCCTGATTGTGGCAAGGTCTTTCAGTCCCACCATGAACTAGCCAGTCACCTGCAGACTCATGCTAGGGGCCTCAGTCAGATGCCACCCCAGATAGAGGAGGCCAGAGGTCCCAGAGCTGGGGCTGTGGAGGATGAAGTGGATCTCCCTGGTCAAGGGAAAGCCCAGAAGTCTCCATCAGAACCCCCTGGTGCCCCAGGAGAGAATGCCAGGAGAGCTAATGGAGGCCAAGGCATAAAGTCCACAGGGGCCGAGGATGAGGAGCGGCCCTTCCGCTGTGCCCAATGTGGGCGCTCCTACCGCCATGCTGGGAGCCTGCTGAACCACCAGAAGGCCCACACGACTGGACTCTATCCCTGCTCCCTCTGCCCCAAACTCCTCCCCAACCTGCTGTCCCTTAAGAACCACGGCAGGACCCACACGGACCCCAAGCGCCACCGCTGCAGCATCTGTGGCAAGGCCTTCCGGACAGCTGCCCGACTGGAGGGCCATGGGCGGGTCCATGCACCCCGGGAGGGGCCCTTCACCTGCCCCCATTGTCCTCGCCACTTCCGCCGCCGCCTCAGCTTCCAGCAGCACCAGCAGCAGCACCAGGAGGAACGGACAGTGGCCAGCTCTGGTACGGGGGCATGACAGGGTGTGGGCACAGGATTGAAGGGTCCCAGAGGAGGTGGGGACACAGTGGAGGGTTAAAATTGGTCCCAAGGTGCGGGGGAAGCAAGTAGCAAGAGGATCACATGGATCCCAGGGAGTGGCAGGGGGCTGGGATATGGAGAAAGCTAGTTTGAGGATGCTGCCTTTTGAGCGGCTGAGATCCGAAGCCCTGGGTCAGGCGAATAGCATGGTGGTCTGGGGCAGTCGGGGGTGGCAGGGAGTGGTCAGGAGCTGCCCAGGCTCCTCTGCCTTGCTGGAGCCAAAGAGGAATGGTCTGGGGAGGGGAGGTAGCTGGGTACCATCTAGCTGCTATATCTGGAAACCCTCCTGATCCAGCCAATTAAGTAGTGACTTCCAGAGGAAAAGATGGTCTAGGGTCTGCTCCTTCCTAGAGTAGGCAAGGAGCCAGGGAATGAGGAACGGGGCATGGGAGTCCCCAGACTGGACTGCTTTGTGGCTTCCATGCTGACTTGGTCAGGGAAACTGGGTGGCTAGTTGGCACCAAGCTCCCTGTCCCTCTCCCTGCGTCTTATCTCTGCACCTCTTCTTTTCTTGGCAACTAGACCCTTGGCACTTTCCCACCTATGTTGCCCCACATCTTTTCTCCTTCCCTTTTTTCAATCCTCCTCTTCTTTCTTTGCTGCATATTTCCTTTTTATGATCCGATCAAATCACCCTTTTTACCTGCACACCCTGCTCCCCGTCAGCACACCTTTAACTGGAACTGAGTCACAGATAATTGTTTCTTTGAAGCCAGGCTCAGCTGTAGTAACAGCAGTCATTAGCCCCTATCTCCTGTCCTCTATCAAGGGGACTCCCCACGAAAGGCACCTCGGCCCAGCCGCCACAAGGCTGTGGAGGAGTGGGACAGCCTGTTCCCTCAGCAGGTCCTGGTCTCACTCTCCACCTCCTCTAGGGGTCCGTAGCCCTTCTCCCAGGGCCCCTTCCATTTAGTGGCCACCAAAGGTGGGTGTCCCTGAGATGGTGGGCCCTTGAAGGGAGACTGTCAGGGAAGGAGGGGACAGTGGTGAGATGCCCCTGAGAGCGCTGACAAGAGGACTTTCAGGATAAAAGATTTTTTGTGACCCTAAGGGAACGAGCGAGGAGCTAGTTAGCCAGGTCCAGGAAGATAATTGGGAGTTCTCATACAGGCCTCAGGGGCCATGGGCGATGGGGAGTGGCCTGCGGGGGCTAGGTATGGGGGTACAAGTTGTATGGAGTTTGCCCCCTCAGTCAGTGACCTCCTCTCTCTCTCCCCAGGATCCCCAAAGGCACCAGCGGCAGGCAGAGGGGACCTGTCATTGCCCCCTCCACCCACCCCCACGGCCCCACACCTGGACCTTTCACCCCAGTGGCCTGCAGACCTAAGCTTCTCCCTCTGAACTTCAGTTCTCCAAAGATCAGGATGTGGGGTGGGGGGCAGGTTTGCAGGGAAAGGCTTGATCTCCTTGTTTTGCTCAGGAGTAGTTTGGGCATCCCCAGCTCTTTTCTCCTCTCACCTGGCGAAGAGGACCCAGATCTGGCTTCTTTCCCAAGGAGGGGGTGAGGTCTTCCTCCCGTCCTGTCCTTGAAGGACCCCCTTTCCCCCAGCCTTTGCACCACCTTCTTCCCTGTGACCAGCTCTGCAAGAAAGCCAGTGGTAGGCTCTGCCATGATGCTGGGCCCCCCTCACCAGCCAGATTCCAACACCAGGGAGAGGCAGATTCAGAGAGAGCCGCAGGTGGGAATGTTGCCTGTGGAAGGGGAGCCTTTTACTACAATTTGTAACTTATTTTCTAAAATCTATTTTGTAACAATTTATTTAAGTTTAAAAAAAAAACAGGAAAATTGCTCCCCCCAAAAAAAGAAATTTTCAAAGTATGAGGCTGGTGTGATTGTTTCTGAGGGGATGAGGAATAGGGAAAGCTGGGGATGCCTGTGTTGGACTGCAGAGCTGGGTGTGGGGGAGCACCCACAGGCCTCGTCTCCCTGTCCTGCAGGGTGGGGAGCAGGGGCAGCTGCGGGTCGGGGTGGGCTCCTTCCTAGAGCCCATTGTGCCCACCTTTGGGCCTGCCTGGTTGTGTGTGCGTCAGGGGGATGGGGTAAGAGCATGGGGAAAGAGATGTGGGAATTGCTTCCCTGTAACTGCGGCGTCCCAGAGCCACCTGTCAACAGCCGGCTGGTTGGCCTGTCAAGGAGAGGAAGGAGGGTGGGGTTGATCTTGTCCTCACAGCTTCCCTCCCTCCCTCCCTCCAAGGAAGAGGAAGGCAGTGCTCCTTAGGCCCCATGACAGATGGGAAGAGTGAGGTTTGAAGAGGTCAAGAGGCGTGCTTCAAGTCAAACAGAGACGAAGAGCCAGGACTTGAATCCAGATAGGTCTGTCCTCTGCTCCACCCCACCCAGGGCAGCTCCAGGTGGGTCAGGACAGATCCTGCCCTAGATCGAGAGAGAAGCGGTCTGGAGAGGCAGATGTTGACAGGGAGGCCCCAGGGCCACATACTCGTGTTCACAGGGCAGCTTCCAGGCTCAATCTCAGGCTCTGGCTCCTCAGCGAAGTAGACCTGCCAGTCCAAACTGCTGACCCAGTTCTCATAGGTGGGGAGCGCCGCAAAGACAGCAGGTCTTGCAGGGCCTTGGCAGGCATCGCCGAAGCTGTGCAGCCCAGCCAGGAACCACGTGCCCCTCACCTCGTGCACCAGCGGTGCCCCCGACAGGCCCTGTCAGGGGTTAAGGGACACTGAGTGACTTCCATTTCTCCCCAGGTAGCTGCAGGGGGCAGAAGGGGCCTGGGCTGAGGCTCTGGCTACTTGGGAGCCAGATGGCAGAAAGGCTGATTTAGGTGAAAGGTGGGTCTGAGGCCGAGCATGGCAGGAGGTCTGTTCATGAGTGGCAGAGTGAGGGGTCTGTGGAGTGAAGTTTGGGGGACTGGGGCTCACCTCGCAGCCGGGCGGCTCACCCACAACACTGGTACACACCATCCCTGACAGAATGGGGATGCTGTCGCTCCCAAGGGCCGCATGCAGGCGGCTACAGGCCTTGGGCCCCAAGATGGTCACAGGCACTGTCTGAGGGGAACTGGTGCCTGCAGGATGAAGGAGAAGACCTAGCTGCCGCCATGGCCTGTAGACTGGATGCACAGCTGCTGGTGGCCCTGACCTACCTACATACCTGCTCCTTGGCGGGCTAGCCCCAGGACCCAGCCGCGTTCCCCATCGGGCAGGCGGTGGTCATCATAGGGCAGGCAGAGGGGCCGCAGGCTGGGACCTAGTGTTACGGGCTGGGCCAGCAGCAGGAGGGCCACGTCGTAGCCCCCTTCCGGGTGGGTATATGCCCCATGCAGGATGACTTGCTTCAGGCCCCGCTCCTCTGATTCAGCTGCCAGGCCTACAGTCCATTCCTCTGGGGTCTGGCGCCTGTGTAAGGACAGCGTTGACAGCACTGGGTGGCAGAGCTGCCAGCAAGGGTGCAGGCACAAAGATGAGGGAGACAGGGCTCACCCAATGAAGCAGTGGGCAGCAGTCAGCACCACCTCCTCTGACACTAGGGCTCCGCCACAGGCCAGCTTCCCTTGGTGCTTCAGCCTGGCGTCCCAGGGCCATGGGGAGGGAGCTCCTGCCCGGGGGCCTTCTCTCCTCAAGGATCCACAGGCTGAAACAGACGGATTACATCATCTGCTTTCTTGCTAAGTGCTCACTGCATGCCAGGCCCTGAGCTAAGCGTTTCCCACGTGCTATCAAATATCCTCACAATGTCCTTTTAAGCTGAATATTTGTTATCCTCATTACCAAAGTTATCCAAAGTTTCAGAGAGGTTAAGTGACTTTCCAGCTCAGTAACCACCAGCAAGTAGCTGACTAGGGATTCAAAACCCATGGCCTAAGCTTTTAACCCTGATGGTCCAATCTCATGGGAGTGGCCTGCTCATCCTTCCCCAACCCCACCTGTCTGCACCCCTCTGGGCTTGGACTGGCCCCAGAACTCCTGGCTCATTAGTGCTTCTCTTACCATCAAGACAGAGCTTCCTTCCTGGGAATTACTTTATATGCAATTTGCATGTTAGTCACTTAATGCCAAAATTAATGCCCGACTGAGCAGGAGCCCTACCCTGTCCAATCTTGCTGAGTCCCTGCTTGGAAATATGTAGCTTACCCCTAAACCATCAATCAGATCTCAGAAATCCCTCTTTACCCAAACTACAAGTGGATAAAGTTCCAAGGCGTCTATGCCTCTTAGCCTCAACGGGGCTCTTCCCATCCTAGGGGTGGAAAGGGGCCTTAAAAGCCCCCTCGTTAGCCCCTGGCAGTGTGTAGACACCCTGTACCAGTTCTCTATTCTGAGCTGAAATTTGTTCCACTGTGGCTTCCACTCGCTGCCTGGAAGTCCTCATGCAGGCCTGGGGGAGGTCCCCACATGTCCCATTCCTAACACCTGCTGCTCATACCTACACAGCTGTCCTCATCACTGATCTCCGGGGTCTCAGGGTCCTGAGCTAGGAAGGCTGCCCCCTGAGCTCGAGCCTGCAGCCAGGAGCTGTGAGTAGCCATGTTGGTCAGCAGCACAGGAGTGTCTTCCTGGGCACAGCTTGATGCGAAACTGATGATCCCAGCTTGAACCCAGTGTCCATCAGGTTCGCGGCACAGCACCGGGCCCCCGGAATCTCCCTGGAGCCAGGCAGTGTTGTCAAGGGCAGACACCTGAGCACCAGCCCTGGGCGGACACCCTCTACCTGCGGTCCTCCCACCCGTCCCTGTGGATTGAGGCTAGGCTCCCTCCCCTTCTTGTCCCCTGTCATCCTCCTCAGACCTGACAGGGCCCCTGCACCCCGGGCTCGGGACCCCCACACAGCATCCCAGACCGGGCTGGGCTGGCCAGCAGCCGCTGGTGCAGCCGATTGTAGAGACAGTTACACGTAGGGCGGCTGATTAGACGCAGGTGCAGATTCCGTAGGGTCCTGGGAGCTGGCAAAAGAGAAGGGGTTGGGACCAGAGTCTGGGCTCTGCAGAGCAAGGGAGACAGGGAACGGGGACAGTTGGCAGCTGAAGCTGTGTGACCCTGGGCACATTCCTCTCTGGGCTGTAGTCTGGGCCAGCACTTACCATCACTGATATCCTGATCCCAGCCAGTGGCCCAGCAGGAGGTCCCAAAGGGGAAGCGATGGGCAGGTTGGGGCAAGCAGATGGGTGTGTGGGCCATGGGGTGGGCAAGCTGTAACAGGGCCAGGTCTGAGCCCTGGCTATAGTGGTTATAGGCCCTGGGCAGCTGCAGAGCAGTCACCCCCACCTCCTCAGCCCCTGGGCTTAGCCCCTCACGCTGCAGAGATCCCAGAACAACTGACCAGGAGTTCAGTTCAGTCACTGCCGCCCTGGAAGGGGAGGGACAAGACCCAGGCATTGAGTGCAAAGGGGGACACCATGGGAGCCAGCACAAAGTAGGTGAAAGAGGGGCCAAAACCTGTGGCTTTAAGCAAAGTCTACCCTTCTCCCAACCTGTTTTCTCATTTGTAAGGCTTCTACCAAAAAGGTTGTTAATAGTTGTTGATAGTATGTACCTGGCACGCAGCGTGTTTTTAATAAATGGTACTTCTTTATTCTAGGGGCAGGGCTCAGTCTTGTGGGGTTTGGGGACAAATCACCCACCCTGAAAGCCAGAAACCCTGTTTGACCGCAGCCATGACTCACTTTTCAAAGCAGTGGGCTGCAGTTAGGACCCAGGTGTCCGCCACCAGGGAGCCGCTGCAAATGTGGACCCCCTGCCGCCTCACACTGGCCTGCCACGGCCACTCGCCAGCCACCGTGTTGCCCTCCTGAGGCTCTGGGGGGCCGGGGCCACGCTGCCCGCATGCTGTGGACAGGTGTAGGTCAGGTTGACAGCAGGCCCCTGTTCTGCCCTCACCCCAGGCCCAACCCAGACCCGAGTATGACCCAGGCCCCATGGCCCCAGAGCTTACCACGCTGAGCTGCTAGAAGACCTGGGGAGAGAGCGACACAGGTGAGACTTGGGGGAGGGAGCCTTACCTGCCTGACCCAGCCTTGGTGGAGGGGACAGGTTTGGGGGACTTGCCTGGGTCCTTGCCTATGACTCTGGGGCTACCTCACCAGCCCCTCCCAGAATGAAAATATTTATATGAGATCAAGAAACAGTTTTTATTGGAACCTATTCAGAGTGTACACTCAGTAATTAGTTCTCTCTTCGCTGTGCTCAGCACTCTTGGGCCCGAGGGGCAGGGCCTGGGGTTCATCTTGGGGCAAGGCCAGCCCTCCTTCAGGCTTCAGAACCCCCAACTCCTGCCCCCGCTGCTGAGTCAGGGAGGCAGCCCGTGCATGTGGAGAGCATTAGCTTAATTGTGCCCTTGGCTGTGGAGGCCTAAGAGGAAGGATTAGAGGCCTGCGTCATGTCCAAGCTGGGGAGGGCGCCGAGAGATTGAGACTCACCGCACCCGTGTTCTGACAACTCAGACTCCCCCACCTTTCCAGAATCTGCCAGAGACTCTACCAAAGGGTTCCCTGCCCTGCCTCTTCCCCATCACAGACACACACAAACATGCCCATTGAACATCTGAGCCAGGAGAGGTGGGTAGTAGGTAAAGACAGGGAGACTGAGGCCAAAGGGCCCCAGAACTTGCCTAACGCCATTCTGGAAGTAGAGAGGTAGACGGGGGCACAGGGTGCACACAGGCGTAATGACAGTTCCCGCACAACATGTAGACTGTAATCCAGCTCAAGGAAGTCACACCCCTTTGGACACAGGTGGCCATATACACCTCCCCATGCACAGCCAGACACAGTTATGTGCCAAACTGTGACCCCACAGGCAGGCTCCCTTCACACACCTGCAGGGGCTGCTGGGGCAGAGGATGGCTTGTGAACCCCATACCACTTCCCACCCACCCAGATACGGGTGACTCACCCTCTACGAGGACCACCATTCCCAGGATGAGCAGCCCTGGTCCCCAGCTCTGCTTCATGCTGCTCCAGGGCACTCTGCCGCCTGTGCTCTGGTTCCTGGAGAAGCCACCTGGGTCTTCCTAGCTCCACCTCTGCTCCACCCCCAACTTGCTACGACTCAGGTGTCATTGCTTTTCTTGGGCTGGAAGGGAGCCAGCAGTTCCTAGCTCTGGGGCTGTGGCTGTGACCCTGGGCTCTTCACCACCTCTCCCTGAGCCTCTGCCATGCCCAGACTGGGTTCAAATCCCAGGTCCCCCACTGACTACTTGAGTGACCTTGGACAGCTAATCTGCCTGTGCCTTATCTGAAAAACTCAGAATTGTTGAACATAAAGATGCTTAGACTGAAGCCTGGCAGAGTAAACTTGCTCCCAGCATGGAAGCTGTCCCCCAGGAACAGGTGAAGGGCCCTCCCAGTTCTCACTTTTCATTTCTGCTTCCCTGCCTCTCTCCCAGGCCTAGGTCCAACTGGGTTTTGCATACCTTCCCCGCTACGTTGCTTCAGAGGCAGGGTGTGCAGGGCTGTATCGAGGGGCCAAGGCTGCTTCCTGCTAGGTATGACAGCAGCAAATCTCAATGCCTCTCTGTCACCTTCCCGGGAAACAGAGTTACACCTCATAGGTGCTGGAAGACTCAATTAGGAGGGAAGAACACTTGGTGAACCCTTTTTCCCTTCCTGGCTTCTAACTTGGGACAGCCCAGACTGTTCAGGAACCCTGACCCCAACCCAGAGGCAGCTGTGGCTCCAATTAAGAGTACAGATACTGAAGCCAGATGGCCCTGATGGATTCAAGTCCTGAGGGCTCCCTAACCCCCTCCCCAAAACGAGCTGTGTGATCTTAGGCAAGTTACTTAGCCTCCCTGTACCTCAGTCTCCTTATCAAGATAGGGATACAGTTGGTCCTCTGTATCCACAGGTTCTGCATCTGTGGCAGATTCAACCAAACACAGATCAAAAAAAAAAAAATCCAGAAAGTTCCAAAAAGCAAAACTTGAGTTTGCTGCTTGCCAGCAACTAGTTACATAGCATTTACATTGTATTTACAACTATTCACATTGTATTAGATGTAAGTAATCTAGAGATGACTTAAAAGTATAACTTGAAGTATATGGGAGGATGTGTGCAGGGTATATGCAAATTCTATGTCATTTTCTATAAGGGACTTGAGCATCCTTGGATTTTGGTTTAGGGAGTGGGTAGGTCCTGGAACCAGTCCCCTGCGGATACCAAGGGGTGACTTTAATAATAATACCTACCTCATTCCGTTGCTGTAAGGATTGAATGAGTTGACACATATCATGTTATTAAACAATGCTTCACATGTGGATGAGTGCTTAGTACACATTTGGAGAAACAAAACAAAACAAAACAAAACACTCACAACCTGCCCCTGGCCCTCTAGGGCCATCAAGACTGGCTTGAGTTGGCAAATAAGGCAGCTGGAGGGATTAAATTTAGACTATAGGAAAAATTTCCCAGCAAGCATGCACAGAATCAGAAGGGCAGCTCACCCTTGCAAGTGCACTCTTGGCCCTCCCAGAAGACGAGGCCTGGCTTCTGTAGGCAGCAAGGACAAGCTGCCAGCCAGTTTCCTGGGGGTGGGGCTAATGGCACCCCAGGTCTTGCTGACTCCACATCCTGGAGAAGGGACTAACCATCCTTCCCAGGTGGGCCCTCCTCTGCCTCTGACTCATATTTTCTGGTCCCAGAGGAGGAAAGACTGGGGAAGGCCCAACGCTAAGGGTCCCTGGCCAACAGATGGCTCAGACTTGATTAATTAAGAAACTTTATTGTTCTGAAACTTCCCTTCTTGGGCAACAGCAGGAGCTTTAGAAATCAGCCCTTGGGGACAGAGCCAAAGGCACTAACATGGAGGAAAGAGTGTGGCATGATTGGTCCATTGTCCTGTGGGGGAATATGGTGAGGGCAGGCTGCAGACTCTTCTAAGGACCCAGACCTGGCCCCCTTAGGCAAAGGTCACATGCCAAAGCAGAGCAAATGTGATCAGCCTGGCTTGGGGTGAGGGCTCAGTGCCCCTTGACTTTGCCCTGGGGTCTCTGGACCTCCCGGAAGCTGAGCATCATCAGGCCCACATTAATGGCATAGGTGGTGATGCAAACGATGCAGAAATCATAGAGCACGAAGAACAGGATCCAGGCCAAGTAGACAGAACCAGCAAGAGACACCAGGGAACTCAGTACCAGGAGGATAGATGCCCAACGGCCCTGTAGGCAACCTGCAAGGCAGAAAGGGGTCAGTCATGAGCTTCAGGGTCTGGCCACCTCTAGAACACTGCCATGACTCCCTGACAGCCAGGGCTACTGGGGAAGAGTCTCTAAAATGAGAGGCTCCCACAGGCCCCACCAAGGCCTTGGTTCTCTTATCTGTTTACCAAACCCTGGGACCCAAATAGTGAATTTTCCTGCTGAGCTCTACATGAAATGAAAGACAAGCAATCCTTGGATTCCCCCAGAAAGGAACTTCTGAGTCTTTTCCACAAAACTGGGCTCCTAGGAAGTCTTTAAAGTCCCATCTGGTTCTGACAGTAAAGATTCCTGTTAGTTCTCACCTCCAGGGTGCTCTTTGATGAGCAGTTGGCTGTCAGATGTCTGGGTCACCAAGATTGCAAGGGATGGGCCTGGGCTGGCTAGGAAGGGGGTAGCCTGTCATGAGAGGGTGGAGGCCACTCACCTAACAACAGCTGTATTGTGTAGAAGATGCAACCGAATATGCTGTTGGATTGATTGAGGATGCTGTCCTTGCCCAACACGTGTTCCACCAGTCCAAAGCCCTGGCCCCACCTAGTAGAGGGGAGGGTCCAGGTTAGGAGTGTCAATACAGTGCTGTGGGCCTTGTCCCGGGACGGTGATTTCCAAGAAGCCACCTGGGCTGTCCTTCCCTTTCTCCCCCTTCCCCCAACCCCCATGAGTCCAAGGATCAATGACCTCCTGACATAGCCTCCCTTTGGCCACGTCAGGATCCCATGTCACTGCTCCTATCCCCACTTCAGGCCTGGCCATGGCTCCCCCATAGGCCCCTCTTTTCATCCTAGACCTTCAATAATTAAGATGTCTTGCTTTGCATAGTTACCAGACACTGGGAAACCAGGGCAGTATCTCTTTCCCCTGGACGCTGCGTGCGCCCTTCCTCTGCTTTAGGTCATCCCGCTACCTAGGACCCTCAAGCATAGCCTGACCTGGCCACCCTACCCCCAGGCACAGCGGCCATCCTTAAGAACATTATCAGTCCCTAATACGACCCCAGATCCCTGTCCTGCCCCGTCACTGTTATTCCTTGTCATCAGGATCCATGTGCACTCCCCTGAATAACCCCAGTCCCCAGCACCACCTGCCCCCACTTCCCCACACTCATACTTCAGAAACACCCGTTTCGCCAGGCCACGCCCCCTTGAGCAGCCAGGTCCCCGTGGGTCAGCTCCTTGGGCACCCCGATCTCTATAGACTCAAGAATCATCTGGCAACCTGGTCGCCATGCACACTTGGTCCACTTGCACCGCTCCTACGAGTAGCTGCTTCCCGCAAGCCTTCCTCTCCCGCGCAAACCTGGAGGAGAAGACGCGCGAACAGCTGACCGCGGTGCCCACGTCGCAGAGCGCGCGGTAATCCCGGTCTCGGGCGCGCGCTGCCTTCACGTGCAGCGCGTAGAGAGAGAGCACTAAGCCCGCGAGGCAGAGCGCGAGCCGCACCCATCCAGGGCTCCGCCAGGTAGTCCCCATGTCGTCTGCTCCCACCCGAGGCGCCAGAGGGAAGGGAACCAGTCACGGAGCAGGCCCCAGGAGCGAGAAGGGAACCTGCCAAATCAGGCCCGGCCTCTCCCGCCACTCGGACTGGGCGATTGGCCTGCTAATCTCGCACTCCCTGATCCAATTGGTTGTTTCTAGGACCTGGCAGGCGTGCTGCCTGCGTAGGAAAACAGTTGAGGAATGCTGGGACTGGAAAACCAGCTTAAGAAACGTGGGTATTTACGGCTTTGGAGGCCTGCCGGGAATGATGGGAGTTGTAGTCAGAGCGGCCGCAATGCCTCAAGGGTAATGGAGTTTCCGGAGTTTTAAAAACTATATTAATCTCAGAGTAACAGGATATAACGCTGTTCTATGCCAAGCCTTGTTCTGACTTTGGAACATCAGGACCTAGAGACCAGCGGATCAGGGAATTTAGCGAATACTGTAATCGAATCAAGAACCTAGCATTTCCCCTGAAATGATTATCAGACTCTACTACGGCTATAACCTCCAATCAGCCTAGCTTGCTCAGCCTTTCCCTCCTGCCACATCAGCGCCTCCTGCTGGCCGATCTCTCTCTCCGTTTCTCCCCTGCATTCCCAGCTCCATCACCGTGGCCATACCCTGAGGGTATCATAACCTGTGTTCCAGTGAAGTGGCGCCTGGCAAAACCTAAGCCCTGGTCAACCCAACTGTCCCTCTTTCCAAGCCTTCCGTGAGCTAGCTGAGCTCTCCCCTTCACAGACATCGCATCTATTGATGACCCATCTCACCCATACCTTTCCTTCCTTCTCATCTGCATTGAAACTTTTCCCCATTTTGGAAGCTGCCGCAAATACCCTTTCACATTCAAGTTTTGGGAGGCAAAATTTAACGCTCCCATCCTTTACTTCCTCACTTCCTTGCTGCCCAGCACACCATAAACTAGCTCCTGCCCCCTAGTACTCTCCTGACAACTAATAGCTGGTGTTAATATAGGAAAAATGGGGCACTAGAGGATGGTCGTGTCCCAGGTTTCTGGGATGCTCCCTGCCAAATGAGGGTCCTTGGCTTCACACAGGAAGGAATTCAAGAGCGAGCCATAGTTGGGTAAAAGTTGATTTATTCAGAAAGATGCACACTCCATAGACAGAATGTAGGCTGTCTCAGAAGCCCAAAGAGGTCATGAAGCGTGGAGGGATGTTAAGTTTAAAGTAAAAGTAGAAGTAAAAGTAGATACTCCATAGACAGCGTGCAGGCTATCTCAGAAGGTAAGAGAAAGCGAGGAGGTGGGGGGTTGTTAGTTTTTATGGGCTTGGTAACTTCATATGCTAACAAGTGGGAGGATTATTCCAACTACTTTGGGGAAGGGGATGGGATTGCCAGGAACTGGGCCACCACCCACTTTTTGACCTTTTATGGACCTCCGAACTGTCATGGCGCCTGTGGGAGTGCCATTAACATGCTAATATATTACAATGAGCGTATAATGAACCTCAAGTTCTACTGGAAGCCAAATCTTCAATTGCTGTGTCATTCCTTTAATGGTTGCACCCTGTCCCCTTCCCTCCTGTCTCAGTGTCACTAGGATGCTAAATTCAGTGGATATTTTTCAGTTCTAATCATGCTTTTACTAACAGTATTAGTCACTGTTGGCCACTCATTCCTGGGAATTCTCTCTTCTTCTGGATTCAGTGATATTTCACTCTCCTGCTGGCCCTCCTCCCTCTCTGGCTGCTCCTCACACCCACTCCTCTTCTTCCAGACAGGGTGGTCAGTGGAATAATGGTCCCCAAAGATGTCTGTGTCCTAATTCCTGGGGCCTGTGAACATGTTACATGGCAAATGGGAATTAAGGGAGGAGGATATATTCAAGTGGTAAAGGACATGCCTAGCATGCATGAAGTCCTCGGTTCAAACCCCACTACCTCCTCTAAAAATAAATAAATAAACCTAATCCCCCCCCCAAAAAAAGATGGGGAAAAAATGGGAATTAAGGTTGCAGATGGAATTAAGGTTACTAATTTGCTGAGTTTTAAACAATGTAATTACAAGATTCTTTAAAAATGAAAAGGGCAGCAGAAGGGTCAGAGGGAGGTGTGACTACGGAAAAAAATCACTGAGAGATGCAATGCCTGCTGGCTTTGAAGATGGAGGAAGGGGATGATGAGCTAAGGAATGCAGGTTGCCTCTAGAAGCAGAAAAAGGCAAAGAAATGGATTCTCCCCTAGAGTCTCCAGAAAGGTACTACTGACATCTTGATTTTAGCCCAGTGAGACCCATGCCAGACTTCTGAACTACAGCATTATAAGATAATAAAATTCATGTTGTTTTAAGCTACTAAGTTTGTGGTAATTTGTTATAGCAGCAATAAGAAGCTAATACAGAGGACTAGGACTTAGGCTAGTTTCTCACCTCTTCCCACAGTCTCCTGGAATGTTGCTTTCATCTGTGGCTGACTTCCGCAGAATGAGTGATCTCAGAGGGAGCAAGGTGGAAACCACAGTGTCTTTATGATTTAGCCTCAAAAGTTACATTGTCATTTCTTATTATCCTATTGGGTTGGGTCAGCCCTGTTCAATGTGGGAAGAGGCTTCAGAGTGATAAAGCCCACCAAGAGGTGGGAATCATTGAGGATTTATTAGTGTTCGGCAAATCACCACAAACATAATGGCTTAAAACAAAAACAATTATTTTCTTTTCTCTCACAGTTTTTATGGATTAGAAATTTGGGACAAGCATTTTGGCTGGGCAGTTCTGGCTCATATCACTGCAGTCAGATGATGGCTAATGCTGGAACAGTGGGAGACTGATAACCTGGCATCTCTCTCCTTGGGGGTCTCAGGGCTATTCGTGAATCTATGTAGCCTCTCTATCCTGATAGAGGCTAGTTTGGGTTTCCTCATAGCATGGCACCCTCCCAGGCTACAACAGCCAGTTTCCAAAATTGTCCTCAATGATTTTCACCTCCATACCATTGTGTAGTTTATTCCCACACTAAATAGGACTGACCTGACCCAATAGGATAATAAGAAATGATGGTTTGTGACTTTGGAGGCCAAGTCATTAAGATATTGTGACTTCCATCTTGCTTCCTCATAGATCACTCCCTCTGGGTGAAGCCAGTTGCCATGTCATGAGGACACTCAAGCAGCCCTAGGGAGAGGTCCACTTAGTGAGAAAGTGAGGCCTCTGGTCAACAGACAGCACTAACTTGCCGGGCATATGAGAGAGCCATCCTGGAAGTGGGTTCTCTTGCATCAGTTGAGGCTTCAGGTAGTTTCGGGCAGCATCTTGACTGCAACATCATAAGAGACCCTGAACCAGAAACACCTTGCTCGGCTGCTCCCAGATTCCTGATCCAAAGAAATTGTGTGAGATAATGTTTATTGTTTGGAACTGCTGTATTTTTAGGGTAATTTGCCACACAATAATAGATGATTAATATAGGGCAGTCAGATTACTTACCTGGCAGCTCAGGGCCCCAGTAAAAATGCTCTAGGGAGCCAAGTGGAAGCTTTTATGATCCAGCTTCAGAAGTCATCATATAGTAGTACCTCCACTGTAATCACAAGTCTGCTTAGTTGCAATGCAAAGGAACATAGAACTCCACTTCTTTTTTGGTGTTTTTTTTTTACTTTTTTTTATTGAGTTATAGTCATTTTACAATGTTGTGTCAATTTCCAGTGTAAAGCACAATTTTTCAGCTATACGTGAACATACATATATTCATTCAGAACTCCACCTCTTGATGCAAGAAGCATCAAAGTCATATTCTAAGATGTTCATGTGGGGTGGAGCATCTTTGGAAAACACAGACTGCCACATGAGGCAACATTATTTTCTCCCATGTCTTCTCTTACTCCCTACAGAACACAGCTTCTGAGCTCTGACCTGAGCCCAGATGTCTCTCCTGGGCTCCAAACCCGATGGTAGAAACATCTCTTAAACATCACTACCTGAATGTCTCACAGACCGATCAGATGCAATACAATGCACCCAAAAGTGAACTCCTTACCTTCCCCAAACCCGTTCCTCCTCTGGGGTTTCCCATTTTAACCAAGTCCTGCTACCCCAATCCACCCAAGTCACTGTTCCTGGACTACTCTCTTACTCCTTGTAATCTATGCAGACCACTACCCTGGTCACCATCATCACCTCCCATCTAGATAAAGGCAGTGGCCTCTTCACTGGTCTCTCAGATATATTTGTCCCTCAACTCAAGATACATTCTCCATACAACAATCAAAATGCTCCTTTAAAAATGTAAAGATGTAGTATTGTCACTCTGCCTTTCAATAGCATCCCATTTCAATAGCTCAGAGGAAAAAGCCCCAAATTTCTTTCATTTGTTTAACAAATGTTTATTGATTACCTGTTATGTTCCAGGGATTGTGTTAGAAACTCAGGATTAATTGGTAAAGCAGACAGATATTCATACTCTGGTTTTTCATTTTAGGAGAAAAAAAAGAGCAGTTAATATAATAAATACAAAAAGTATATAGTACGTTGCTAGTGATAACTGCTACAGATAAAATAAAGGGTAAAACAGAGTGAGGGGAATGGAGGTGATTGCAAATTTTAAATAGGATGATCAGGTTGGGCTTATTCAGCTGACATTTGGATAAAAGCTTAGAGGAAGTGAGGGAGTAAGCTATGTGGAAATCTAGGGGAAGGGTGTTCCAGGCAGAGGGAACAGCCAGTGAGATGCCTTGAGGTGGAATATGTCTGCTGTATGTAGGGAACAACAGTGGGGCCAGTGTGGTTGGAGCCAGGAGTATGGGGGGTAAGGACGGAGAGAAAAGAGGTGAATGAGTCGTTAAATCTTTCTGGGCCTCTATCCCCTCATCTGTGAAATACGGATAATAATAGTACGTCTCTCAGAAGGTTGTTATGAAGATGGAATGAATACCTGTAACAAGAGTGCCTGATCAACGGTGAGTGTTCTGGAGGTGGACTCGTGGAGTGCGTGTCTAATCTTCACCGCCGGGGGCAGCAGCGAGTCCCGGTCTGGTACTTGTCCAGCGCGCAGGGTCGAACGGGGTGAGGCCCTTGCCGGATGCCTCCCGCCTCTGTGGCAGCCACAGCCGCCGTCTCCCGCACTCCCCGCCACACCACGGCCAC